CGGCGCTGCCGGTCGGTAACCACCCTTTCCTCCCGCCAGACAGCAGACTGTTTCTGTCAGGTCAGTGCGCCGGCCTCTGTGCCTGGCACGTGCCCGGTAGCTCTGTAAGGCGTGTTCCCAATTCCCACTCCTGGGAGCAGCTCGTCGGGCCCGGCCGCCCGCGCCCCGGCCTCGCAGGAGTGTGTGGGATTTGGAATACCCTTACCGAGGGCAACGCCCTGGACGCGTGCCTGTCCTTTGCTCTGGGAGTCGTTGTCGTTTGAAGTGATCCATTCTGTCACCTGAACCCTGCATGCTCTGTGACACGTGACCTCACGTCTGTTGGCGTCCATGTGTGAGCGTGGCTCCCGCCTCCTGGAGTGCGTTCTGTTGTCGTTCTTATAGCTCCGACTGTGGGACCGTCTGGGAGTCCCGCACGGGCGGCACACGCACACACACACACACACACGCGCGCGCGCGCACACACACGCACACACACACACGCGCGCGCACACACACGCTGTCGGGACCATGAGGTAGGGACGCTGTCCGCACCCTGCACGCCCTCAGCAGGTCCAACACCCCTGGGTCACTAGTCACATCCCAGAACACGAGCTGACTTTGTGCCACGTCAGCCGAACGCTGACCCTGGCCGGTCATGGTTGTGGGAAGCACTGCACCCTCAGCGCAGCCCCGGGGGCCCGGCTCCCTCCATTCACAAATCCCTGCGTCCTCTGAGGCCCAGGGAGCCCCAAGGCCCTCAAGCCCTTGAACGGCCCAGGACACCGGCTCCTGCCACACGAACAGGACCGTCCCAGGGCCACGCAGGTGAGGGTGCTGCACAGCCACGAGGGCGGCGCTAGCGCTCCCGCAGCACCTCCGCACGGCGCCTCTGCCCTCGTTTCAGACGGGCAGGGAGGCCACCTCAGCCCAAGACCCTACAGACACCCAGGGGCCCTGCCCCCCCCCACATGCTGACACACCACACGCACACGAGTGAAGGCTAATGGCCTGCCCGAGGGGCCCAGGTGCACAGCTCTGGGCAGAAACGGAACCTCAGCAGCACGCACTCAGCACCCTCCTCCTCTTTTTATTTTACTTTTATTTTACTTGTTGGGCTCAGATGGGCCACATCCCCTCGGCATGTGTCCTGTGCTGTGTGTGTGCTGTGACGGTGGGCGGCGTGGCTGCTGCGACCTCCCACTGACCCCGCCTTCTCCCGCAGGAATAACGGAGGAGGAGCGGCAGTTCCTGGCCCCTCCGATGCTGAAGTTCACCAGGAGCCTGTCCATGCCGGACACGTCCGAGGACTCCGAGGAC